AAACGGTCCGCCTGCTGCTTGAGCTCGCTGAACTTCCGAAACTGCCCTGCCGCTGCCTGCAGCAACTTGTCCAGCGCCTCCATGTCTGCCTTGAACTTGACCAGCTTGGCCTTGTCCTCCTCCTCATACTCGTCCAGGTCATCGAAGAGGTCCCCAACCGCAGGTGCCTGCCAGTCCGCCTGCTGAGGCGGCTCGGGGTCCTGGCACACGGTCTCCGCCTGGTACGCCGCCAGCGCGCGCTTATGCTCCAGCACCGCGTCGGCTGCATCCTCGATGGCCTTCTGGTTCTTAGTGCGCAGCTGCAGGACGTGGTCCTCCGCCTCCTGCAGGGCCGCCGCGGAGCTGTCCACCTCCAGCTGGCAGCGGTTGAGCTTGTTGATCGCCTGCCGCAGCTCGAGCTCCTTGGACACTTCCTTCTTGGGCGCCGCCGCCGCCGCAGCCGCCTGCACCTGCGACTGCACCGCCTTGACGGGCCCCAGGTCCACCTGCGGCGCCATCTGCGCCGTGAGGGACTCGACGCGCTCCAGCATGCTGCTGAGCTCCGCCAGCGTGCCGTGGACCGCCGTCGGCTTGCGCCAGGGGGGCCCCTTGCCTGTGCTCTTGCCCTTGTCCGCAGCCGCCGTGCCTGGGGCCATTGACTTCCACCCCGGCATGACTGACTGGCACTTGTTGCACCACCCACCTGACCTCTCCAGCTTCCAGTCGTAGACCCAACCACCACAGGTCGCACAAATCGAGTAGGTCTGGCGCCCGCGCCCCATGGCCTGCGCAGGCTCGTGGTGTGTGCCTCCGACGCTCCGAGGTGGGGCGGACCACCTCGGTGCTCGCCCTGGGGCTGACCAGGGGAAGGAATGCAAACTGGCCGCGGACTAGCGGTATCCACTTGTTCCCCTGCGGAACAAAGCATCTTGAGCCAAAATGGCTACGGAGAAGAGGAGGAGGAGGAGGAGGAGGAGGAGGAGGAGGAGGAGGAGGAGGAGGAGGAGGAGGAGGAGGAGGAGGAGGAGGAGGAGGAGGAGGAGGAGGAGGAGGAGGAGGAGGCGGAGGAGGAGGAGGAGGAGGGAGGAGGAGGAGGAGGAGGAGGAGGAGGAGGAGGAGGAGGAGGAGGAGGAGGAGGAGGAGGAGGAGGAGGAGGAGGAGGAGAGGAGGAGGAGGAGGAGGAGGAGGAGGAGGAGGAGGAGGAGGAGGAGGAGGAGGAGGAGGGTAGGGGGGAGTAGACGAGGAGGGAGGAGGAGGAGGGAGGAGACGGGAGGAGGAGGAGGAGGAGGAGGAGGAGGAGGAGGGGGAGGAGGGAGGATGTGGAGAAGGAGGAGGAGGGGAGGAGGAGGGGAGGAGGAGGAGGAGGAGGAGGAGGAGGAGGGAGAGGGGGGAGTAGGGAGGAGGAGGAGGAGTATGGGGGAGCAGGGAGGGAGGAGGAGGAGGAGGAGGAGGAGGAGGAGGAGGAGGAGGAGGAGGAGGAGGAGTTGGAGGAGTTGGAGGAGTTGGAGGAGTTGGAGGAGGAGGAGGAGGAGGAGGAGGAGGAGGAGGAGGAGGAGGAGGAGGAGGAGGAGGAGGAGGAGGAGTAGGGGGGAGTAGAGAGGAGGAGGTGGAGGAGGAGGAGGAGGAGGAGGCTCACGCCCCGCAGGGCCCCCCCTTCGCGAGCCTCGGCCCGCGCCACGGTTTCGTTGGAGGGCGTCGCCGCGCCCAGGGTCACGGGAGGCACACGGCGGAGCTCGGCATCGTTCGGGCGTGTGCATCCCTTTCCCGGCGGGGACCATCGAGGAGCATCCTGGATCATTGGTAGGGGAACGAACAGTGACATAACACACAAAAGCTCTGAGATCCGCGCGGATTTCTTGGATCCGCGCTAGACCCCCCATGGCGGCGCCTCCGGCGCCGCCCCCTTCGGGCGCGCCGCGCGCCAGGGAGGGGGTCTCCAGCGCCGATCCGAGAAATCCGCGCGGATCTCCAAGTGTTATGTTTATGTCCCTCTTCGTTCCCAGGGAAGAAACGCGCGAAGCCGCAAAACACGGGGAATGGACGTCCGAGCGATGGCAGGGGTTATGATGCTCAAACCTACTTCAGCCTTGACCGCCAGGAAGAATTTCGAGCACCAGGGAAGTACCGAGACTGGAGGTTTTTCCCATGTCGGGCCCTGGGAGGCGATGCTCTTTCGACACTGCTTCGACACTTTCCCGGGTGCTCGAGATTATTTCTGGGAGGCGGTCCTCAAGCACGCTGGAAACAACACAGGGCAGGGGCAGGCGTCGTCCGGCCAGGCAAGCAGCACCGAGGGGCCCAAGAGGTGCCTCGGGTTATGATGTTCCAACCTACTTCAGCCTTGATCGCCTGAATGGCTTTCGAGCACCAAGAAAGCACCCCCAAACTCGAGGGTTTTCACGCGTAGGGCCCTGGGAGACACTCTTTCGACACTCTTTCGATACTCTTTCGACACTTTTCTGGGTGCCCGGAAACAGTTCTGGGATGTAATCCTTAAGTACGATGGGAGCAACATGAGCCTCGGGCGGAGGCGGGAGGGCAAGAGGGTCCCTCGGGCGGCGCAGCAGCTCCGGCGGGCCGCGGGCAAACGCCGCGCGCACCGAGGCCGCCGCGGCGGCCGGGGAGCGCACCCCGAGGGCAGGGCGCGCCTCTCGGAAGGAGAGGCCACTCCCAGACACGACCGCGTCGTGGCAAAAATCAGGACGGCCAGTTTCTGGCCCTTTGTCGGCCCCGAGGGGGCCCTGACCTGCCCTCGGGACCGTCAAGACGCGACTAGGGACGAGAAACCGGTCCCGGGGAACGGGTCGGGGCTTCCAGGGACGTGTTGTCCTGAACAAAACTCCGGACGTCGCATGTCTGGGCTGGCATCGCCTGGACGTGTGGCATTTTCTCTCGGCGAGCGCCGTCGAGGAGCATCCTCGGCCATCGGGCCAAAGAAGTCGACAACACGTGAGAGTGACCCTTCGCCGGAGTGACCGCTGAGAACGGGCTCATTGGGGGTCCCTCGATCGCCGAGCGCGGTGCGGTCGTGGCGTCTTGCGCGCTCGCTTTTGGTCCGCCCGGGCCCCCCCCCCCCGACAGCTGTGCGGAAGACAGCTGTTCTGGTCCAGATGCCATCCCAGCAGACAGCTGGAAGGCAGCTGTGCGGAGGTAGTGCGCGCCGCGCCAGCTTGTCTTACTCCCCATGTGCTTGCCACGAGGCTTCGCAAAACGTGCCCCCCCCCCCCCCCCCCCCCAAAGCCTTGCACCAAAGGTCACTCTTACCCAGGGTCACTCTTGCGGTAAGTCGGGCCCGTCCCTCTACAGGAGGAATATTCAAAAATAGTCCAAAAATAGTTGGGGGTTTATTTAGACCCGTTTGGAATATCTTGTCTGTATTCTACATTTGTCGTCGAACATTCCGCTGTAGGGGACACGCCCGAGTTAACACTTGCGCGTAACCGAAAAAGGACACGCACGATGCCGAGAACTATGCACCGGGGAGGGGCGTCCGAGCGAATGGGAAGGACATGCTCTCCTCCTCCTCCTCCTCCTCCTCCTCCTCCTTCCTCCTCCTCCTCCTCTTCCTCCTCCTCCTCCTCCTCCTCCTCCTCCTCCTCCTCCTCCTCCTCCTCCTCCCCCTCCTCCTCTCGGAGGGAGAGGCCGTGGGAGGCTCCTGGCTCCGAGCATCGGGCGCCCGCGCGCCCGCGTCGGCGCCGCGGCGCACGCAGAGCCCGGGGCCCGGGGAGGCCCCCCCCCCCCCCCTGGAAGAGAGGGAGAGAGACGCGGCCGGAGTGCCTCGTAGGAGGAGGAGGAGGAGGAGGAGGAGGAGGAGGAGGAGGAGGAGGAGGAGGAGGAGGAGGAGGAGGAGGAGGGGGGAGGAGGGAGGAGGAGGAGGAGGAGGAGGAGGAGGAGGAGGAGGAGGAGGAGGAGGAGGAGGAGGAGGAGGAAGGCTCCGGGCGCCTCCGCCCAGAGTCCACGCCTCCCGGTGCATCGGGGGCCCCCAAGCGGTGCGGTGACCACACCGTGCGGTGAGTCGGTGGGGATTCGGGGTCACCGCACGGATTTGGGACTCGGGTCGCTCTGCGAGCGACAGGGGCCTCCATGGGGTCCCAAGACCGTGCGGTGACGGACCGTGCGGTGAGGTCTCTTGGGGTTCCGAGGTCACCGCACAGTCTGTCACCGCACCGTTTCGGGACTCCAAAATGCAGCTTCTCTCTCTATATCTCGTGGGTCAGATTCGGGCGAAGGGGTCTTTTGCAGAAAGGGGTCTCGAGCTTGTGCGCAGCAGTTCGGGCAATGGTTCGTGCTGGATGCGGGCAGGATGCGTTGCATGTTGGTATCGGTGAGGGCACGCGCCATGAGACACAGGATGAACTACTGCATATTGTGTTGGCGACCCCATCGCGAAAGACATCCTGTGCCCAGAGCCAAGTGACCTGCGGCGCTGCTTGTCCTGGCTGGCCCGCGACGCCAGGAGTGGGGGAGGGGGGCGGGACGCCGACAATTGACCATAGCGGGGGCGTTCGTCGAGGAATGAGCCCCAGGAGGCTTCAGACCCTGGGGGGTCCCTCGTCTGATGAGGGCGGCGGTGATTCCATGGCGAAGACCCAGTTGGTGTTGCACCGGCTTCCAGGCCCCGGCCTCCTCATCCAATCTAGCTCCTCCGCCGATGCTCTCACCGTAGCTCCGATCTTGGCCGCTCTCCAGTCCCGGGCCCAGGGCAGGCGACAACGCTCCCCCCCCCCCCAGCCCAGGCCAGGAGGTGGTCTTTGCGCACCAGCCCCAAGTCGGGCATGCCCCTCTGCAGGAGGGAGGAATATCAAAAAAGCAAAACATGATACGGGGGCGATCTTTCGACTACTTTTGGCTAATGTTGATTGAAGATCTGTTTTTGGCTGTCTCTCATTCTTCCTCTCAAAATCCGCCTGCAGGAGGACACGCCCGACCTGACACCGGCCCTGGGCCCAGGAGCCGCTGGGGCGCGCGCCCTCCCGGCGCCGCCCTCGGCAGCTCGGCGGGGGGGCCGCGGCCGCTGCGAGGTGAAGGTCGACGCGCCCGGAGCCGGCCTGGGCCACGCGGCCACGCAGGCCGGCGGCCTGCTGCCTCCCAGGAGCCGCCGCGGCGGAGCCCAGCCAGGGGTGGGTGGGCGGAGGATGCCAAGTTCGGGGGCCCCCAAACGGTGCGGTGACCATACTAGTGCGGTGAGTCGGTGGGGATGCGGGGTCACCGCACGGATTTGGGAGGACTCGGGTCGCTCTGCGAGGACGTCTTGGGCGACAGGGGGCCTCCAGGGTCCCAAGGCCGTGCGGTGACGGACCGTGCGGTGAGGTCTCTTGAGGTTCCGAGGTCACCGCACGGTCTGTCACCGCACCGTTTCGGGACCCCAAATAAGTTCAAGACGGGCATGTCCCTCTACTGGAGGAATATTCCAACACAGTCAGAAAATCAGCAGGGGACGATTTTCCGATTTGATTGTTTACTATTCTGCATCTTTGTCGCCTATTCTTTCTTACTGTCCTCCGCAGTCCGCCTGTGGGAGGACAGACCCGACTTGATGCCAGATCCCTGCGGAGTGCGTCTGTACGGAGCGCTCGGCCTCCGCCTGGGCTTGCTCCGTTCAGGAGGACAAGGAACACACAGACACAATTGATCCTCGATTACCTGGAAAAGATGAGAAAATATGGGAAGTGTGGGGGGGGGAAGACAGAAGCCCAGAACATATGGGAAAATATGGGGAGCATCTTTATTTGTGTGTATTGGTTTGTGTGTCCTGGGGCCCCTTCACCCGCCTGGACCCCGCTCTTCCCGATCGGAGGCGACGCCCGTGCGGAGAGTAAGTATGCGTCCGCGCCGGTTGCCTGGCCTCCCTCGTGGCTCCGCCCGTCTGCGCTCGGCCTCTCCAGGCGGATGGCGTGTGCATCGGGGGAGGGAAAACGTGGAGGTCGATAGCCCTCCTGCGCTTTTTTGATTCGCGGGTCGAGACCGCACCTCTTCCGGTCGAAGCTAAGCGGGCCGCGCGACGCTTGAATTAACCATTGCGGGGGGGGAAAGGGGGAGGGCGCAGCCTCAGAGCGAGGCCGCGAGGAGGCAAAGCCTCGGGGATAGCCCTCCTACACTGACACGTCGATTAGCGCATTGGCCGTTTCCGGTTCGCGAGAGGGCGTCGCGGCGGTCGTTTTGGCGGGTCCAGGTCCGTCGGTTTCGGTCTTGGGCCGTTTTCATTCAATGAAGGGAGGTTTGTCCACCGCCGAGAGAACTGCACAAATAGACTGTCTGAGCTCCGCGCGGATTTCTTTGACTTGCGCTGGAACCCCCTGGCGGCACCTCTGGTGCCGCCTCGCGCTCTGCTCGCCAGGGAGGGGGGGCCAGCGCGGATCCAAGGAATCCGCGCGGACCGTCGAAAACCAAGCCTATGTTTATGCAGTTGTCGTTCCCTCTGATGTAAGAGGCCCGCTGGAGGAAGGGGAGGAGTGGCAGCCGTGGTCCAGGAAACGATGTTGTCGAAGGCCGTGCCCCCCCCCCCCAAAAAAAAAACCCAAAAAAGCACGGCCGCCACTATTGTCAATTTCTGGCCCCCACTCCTCCTCTCCTCCTCCTCCTCTCTCTCCTCCTCCCTCCTCCTCCTACTCCTCCTCCTCCTCTCCCCTCCTCCTCCTCCTCTCCCCTCCCCCCTCCTTTCTCCTCCTCCTCCTCCATCTCCTCCTTCTTCCTCCCCCTCCTCCTCTCCTCCTCTCCCCCTCCTCCTCCCCCTCCTCCTCTCCTCCTCCCTCCTCCTTCCTCTCCTCCTCTTTTCCTCCACCTCCTCCTCGTCCTCTCCTCCTCCTCCTCTCCCCCTCTCTCCTCTCCTCTCCTCCCTCCTCCTCCCCTCCTCCTTCTCGGTCCTCCTCCTCCTCCTCCTCCTCCTCCTCCTCCTCCTCCTCCTCCTTTCCCTTCCTCCTCTCCTCCTCCTCCTCCTCCTCCTCCTCCTCCTCCTCCTCCTCCTACTCTCCCTCCTCCTCCTCCGGTCTCGATGTTGAGCCAGCTGTGGCCGACGGCGGAAAAATCAGGTTGCGCGGCGTTCCGCTCGAAAACATTGAATTGGAGGGTCGCGCGGAGACGAACCGCGCGCGAGAGCTGAATGATATTTCCAGGGCAGTGCAGGTGCTGGCACCAACACAGGTATCGGCGGTTGCCTCCACCGAGGGGAAGCGATCCCGATGTCGGTGATGGTGGTAGTGCTCGGGCTCATGAGGTGGCCGAGAGAGTACCACCGGCACCGAACTGCAGGATGCTCTGCCCCGGTAAAGGCACCCCTTGCGTTGGTGTTGGTACTAATTTCGAGGCCCCCAACGCTGAGGCTCCACTCACCGTCGGAAACGTCGGTCGCGCCGCCGGTTCTGGCCCACCACGCCTCGGCGCTGCACGCTAGCCACGTCAGGGTCCCCGAGCGTTCACGTCCCAAACCGTTCGCCGTCCCCCGGCCCGCGAGGCGGAGCGACGCGCTGTCTGCTCGCGGGGCATAGCGTGTTCCCTGGGCCGCCACCGCGGCACGTTGAGCAACGTCTATTGTATTGGGGTTCTAATAGTCCTCCCCCCCGCAGCAGGGAGTCCTGGCTGGGCCAGGGCTGGATAGGGCTTTGTTCTTCGTCGAAGGCTCCTTGCAGTAACGTGTGAAGTATGTTGACGAGCGGAGGAAAGGGGGGGAGGCGGGTGGAGGAGAGGGAAACAAAGGGGCCACAGCATGCTGGAGTCAAGAGTCAGCCTCGAGCTCAGGGGAGGGTGCTCAGGCTCCGTGTGACAGTGGCTGCCATCCTGGAGCCCAGGAGCACAGCAATCAGAGCTCGCGGCATCTCTCAGAGGCTTCTGTCTCCTGAGCTGGCTGGTGCTGTCTCTTGTCTCGACGAGGGTCTCTGAGAGGGCCTCTCTCCAAAGTTTCCCGCCTCATGCCTGCGTTCAGTAGGGGCGCGGCTGTCACTTCGGCTCGGAATGGAAGCCGTGAGGAGGCCGCTTCGGGGTAGTTCATATGGGTGCCAACTCCTCTCCCTCCCCTCCACCTCTCCCTCTTCCACCACCTCCAGTTGCGGGAGGAAAAAGCGAGGGCGGCGCGGTGGGGGTGCGGCCCGAGGGCGGGGGTGAGGAGGAGGAGGAGGAGGAGGAGGAGGAGGAGGAGGAGGAGGAGGAGGAGGAGGAGGAGGAGGAGGAGGAGGAGGCGGAGGCGGAGGAGAGGAGGAGGAGGCGGAGGAGGAGGAGGCGGAGGAGGAGGAGGAGGAGGAGGAGGAGGAGGAGGGAGGAGGGGGGAGGAGCGAGGGGGGGGGGGGGAAGGAG